AGTGGTGTCTCTGCGTTTTAGTATGCAGTCTAGGTTTGTCATAGCTTTTCTTTTGATAATGCTGAGTTGTGACAATTGCCAGGCAAGAAGGGGCGATAGTCAGCTTCAGTGGCCAAGAGGCCTCTTAAAAATACTCTTCATTGTTGAGATAGGTAGAGTAAGGAAGTGCCTCAGAAAAATGAAATTGGATCGTTAGCAGAGATGTGGATGAACCTAGAGTCTGTCATACAGAGTGAAATAAGTCAGAAAGAGAAAAATATCATATATTAATGCATATACGTGAAATCTAAAAAACTGATACAGGTGAGCCTATTTTCAGGGCAGGAATAGAGACATACCTGTAGAGAACAGTCAAGTGGACATGGGGTGGGGGGGAGGGGGTGGGACAGATGGAGAGACTAGCATTGATATGTATACACTATTATGTGTAAAATAGATATATAGTGGGAATCTGCTTTATAGCACAGGGAGCTCAGCCTGATGCTCTGTGATGACCTAGAGGGGTTGGCAGGGCTAGAGGGGTGGGGGGAGCGGATATATGTATACATGGAGCTGATTCACTTCATTGTACAGCAGAAACTAACGCATCTTCGTAAAGCAACTCTGCATGCGTGCTAAGTCACTTCAGTCGTGTCCAACTTTCTGTGATCCCATGGACTATAGCCCTCCAGGCTCCTCTGTCCATGAGATTCTCCAGGCCAGACTCCTGGGGTGGGTTGCCGTGTCCTCCTCCAGGTGAATCTTCCTGACCTAGGGGTTGAACCTGGGTCTCTTACATCTCCTGCACTGGCAGACAGATTCTTCACCACTAGTGCCATCTGGCAAGCCCATAAAGCAAGTCTGCTTCAATTTTTACAAATTTGAAAAAGAAAAGATGTGTCTCAGGCTGGTGTCAAGCATTCGCTGTCTCCACAAGAGCCCCCAGAAGCGGGCTGACACTCCGCTCATGAGGCTGACCGGTCCTGAGGCCAGCCCGCTCCAAGGCTGAGTGGTTTCTTCTCAGCCTCTTATTTCTCTCCCTGCCACCGTCCACCGGATAATTGAAACAGAGGGAAAAAATCAATACCTCCCAGAATAGTCAGCCGTGATTTTCCTGGTTCTTCAGATCCCTACCTTCTGCAGACCCGCCCCCGCCCGCCCCTTCCAAAGCTGCCGGTGTGCGCTGATGGTGTCACAGGTGGGTGCCTAGCCCTGACTCAGGAACTGTGAGCACACTCTGGCTTCCGCCCGCCCACAGACACAGGCCCACGGGGAGCGAGTCGCCTGGCTTTCACAGACACCTGCCTCCCCCAGGGCCGCCCCTCCCCCAGGGGTGTTTTCTCACGGCACGGCAGCCACTAACTTCCTATCTAAAATACAGCTGTCCACATGCTTCTGATTTCCTTCTCCCAACAGCTGCCAGGCTTTCTCCGGCCCTGCTGGCTCACATCTGGCAGCTTTATGGGGCCCAGAGACAAAGGAGGGAAATACTACATTTCCCTTTTCCCGCCTTTTGTTTTCATTCAGCGCTTGGCAGCAGGTGAAGGAAAACAGTAAGGGATTGGTGCACAGTCTTGCTCAGCTCCAGGGTGGTGTGACTTCCTTTTCTCTCCTCTTGTTTGCATAAAGATGCTTTCAACATCACCCTGTTTTTCTACACCGTACTCCTTTTTAAAAAAAAAAAAAAAAGATCTGTACCTTTTGTTGGAGTAGATGGGTTTGAAGACCAAGCAGTTTCACACCCCTGATACCAATGGAAACTGACACTGGTATATTAGACTCCTACTTGTTACTGACCATCAGAAGACATATAATTGTGCGTTGCTGTTGTTCAGTCCCTAGATCGTGTCCAACTCTTTGTGGCCCCATGGACTGTAGCCCACCAGGCTCCTCCGGCCGTGAGATTTCCAGGCAAGGATACTGGAGAGGGTTCTCATTTCCTTCACCAGGGGATCTCCCCCACCCAGGGATCAAACCCAGTCTCTTGCATTGGTAGACGGATTACTTACCACTGAGCCACCAGGGAAGCCCTAACTGTGCATTAGTGCCGTGCAAAATTTCTCCATGTAGGAATTTACTTAAAAAATACTGTTTATATCCAGTGACTGAGCTACTAGAAAGCTCTCCTCAGAAGTATTGATATTAATAAAAAGATTAAAACATACCTCAGTGTACAAGGCTTAAGAAACTAGCTAAAAATTTATGTAATCCCTAAAATGGAATATTACATAGCATTAATGTGTGGTAATTTTGAGAGATCTTTACAGTGCATTGTTAAATGAAAAAAAATCTATGCCTTAAAATTCCCATTTATATAAATACATCCCTGAAAGTTCAAGATTAAGGGCTCCAGTAGGTAAGAGCCTACTGTGTGTCAAGTGATGCTGCTTTATTACCTCTCAGCCTGGTAACCACTCTTCTGGGCTGTCTGTCATCTTTATTTTGCAAATGATGAAACTAAGAGTCAAGGGGGGTGAGTACCTGTCCCAGCATCACGTGCTAGTAAGAAGGGTGGGATTCAGCATCACGTGCTAGTAAGTAAGAAGGGTGGGATTCAGCATCAGTGCTAGTAAGTAAGAAGGGTGGGATTCAGCATCAGTGCTAGTAAGTAAGAAGGGTGGGATTCAGCATCACATGCTAGTAAGTAAGAAGGGTGGGATTCAGCATCAGGTGCTAGTAAGTAGTAAGGGTGGGATTCAGCATCACATGCTAGTAAGTAAGAAGGGTGGGATTCAGCATCACATGCTAGTAAGTAGAAATAGTGGGATTCAGCCCCAAGCCCACTAGAGTATATGCTCTCTCTTCTCCAGCATGTAGCTACACAACAGCATCTGGTCCATTCAAGTGCCCTGGTTATTGCTGCTTGGTTGATGTCAAGGCCTCCAGGTTGGAGACCACCAGTGTTCCAAAGGCCAAGTGCCACCCATCAGAAGAGCTGGTCGTCTTACCCACTGCCCAGAGCAGAGGAATTAGCCTTCAAGAACCCTCCAGAGAGCCCAAAACAAAGGCCTGCCAGTCAAGAGGGAGATAGCAGAGCTGTTGGCATCTGGATGCCTGTGTTCTGGTCTTCAACTCTGTGGATGTAGGCAAGGCACTCAGCCTTTCCTGTTTCTTTTTTTTTTAATATAATTGTATTTATTTGCTTTCAGCTGTGCTGGATCTTCATCGCTGCACAGGCTCTTTCTCCAGTTGCAGCGAGGAGGGGCTCCTCTCTATTGCGGTGCATGGACTTATTGCAGTGGCTTCTCTTGTTGCGAAACACAGGCTCTAGGGAACATGGGCTTCAGCAGTTGTGGTTCCCAGGCTCTAGAGCACAAGCTCAGGTTCTGGCACACAGGCTTTGTTGCTTCGCTGCTTACCAGACCAGGGATCAAATTTGTCTCCTGCGCTGGCAGGCAGGTTCTTTACCATGGAGCCACCAAGGAAGCCCACACCTAGCCTTTCTAAGCCTTGATTTCTCCATCTGTATGAAATAGGGACAATAGAAAACAAAAGGCTCTACCTCGTAGGGTTGTGGGGAGGGTTGATTGGAACAGTTAAGAATCCACTCCACATAGTCCCTGGTGCAGAGTGAGCCCTCGGTCGATGACGGCTGGTGTTTTCATCACTGATAACTGGGGAGTCTTCAGGAAGAGCACTTTAGATGTGGGGGAATGCTCATCCAGTGACTGCGGTCATTTCTCTTCCCAAGCCTGTCCATCCATCTGTCCAGGCCTGCAGCCCCGTTAGTTCTTAGCTCATATGCTATAACCCAGATCACTGAGATGAATTTCCTCCTGTGCTCCAGGGGCATGGGATCATCATCAAAGAGATATCTCTAAGCAGCTCAGGTGGGAGCACCCTGCTCTGCAAGGGAGATGTGGAAAGAGGGAAAAAAACATCTACCAAGGGGGCAACAGAAATGTACATCTTCTTGACTCCAGCTGGAAAGTCAAACAAGTCACAGTACTAGATGGCCACACCACTTGCATGGGGCCTCAAAGCATAGACACTGGCTACGGAGCTTTCAGTAGAGGACTGGCCCCCAGACCACTGGCCATCACGGAAGTTTGAGTTAACCCATCCCCCATCAGCTTCCGTGGTGGCTCAGTTGGTTAAGAATCCGCCTGCAGTGCAGGAGATACGGGTTCAATCCCTGGGTCGGGAAGATCCCCTGGAGAAGGGAGTGGCAACCCACTGCAGTATTCTTTCCTGGAGAATTAGTCCATGGGGTCGCTAAGAGTCAGACATGACTGAGCAGCTAACACTCACTCACACACACACACACACACACTAGTAGCTTAGGAAAAGAACCCTCGCCATGAATATTAAGCTCACATCAATTAAGTGCTTAAGCACGCGCCAGACAGTGTTCTGAGCACTTTGTGTCTGGTGTGGCTCATTTGATCTTCCGAACTCGATCAGGGTAAGTACCGTCATAATAATCAGCACTCTACACATCAGTCAGCTGAGGCATGGAGAGTTCAGATTGCTAGCCTGAGGTCACATTGTGAGAAGTGGGCAGGGTTTCTTTCCAGGTATCCCGGCTCTTGGTTTCCATTCTGCACCGCCCTACATGATCTGTCCACCAGTTTAAGGCTGGGAGAGTGGGGTGTGGAAGGGGATCTCAGGTTAGCAGCTTTGTGGGGGGTGCAAGTGAACATACAAAGTAAAAATACACCCTTGAGCGATGAACCTTTCTGTCTCCCCGTGCTTTTGTTAGCAGACCTTGGCAGCTCGGCCACGTCAGTCAATGCCAGCCTAAACTCAGGGGGTGTCTGGCTTCTCCCTGTTTTTGTTTAGACAGATACGGGCACAAAGTAGACAAGAAAATTAAGGAGGGAACATGATCAGCCTTCAGCTTGGGGAAAACCAGAAGCTCAGCTCGGAGGCCACGGGCTGCTTTGCCCATTGTCCAGTCTTCCCCAGCCAGGCCATCTCCGGAGCCCTGGCTGGTCTGTACAGCTGATCACAATCCTCGGCCAAGCGCCCGGGCCTGCCCGGTGCCCTCCTGTTAACCACGCTCTTTCTGGCTGGTGCAGGTAACCTGGACATCACCCCGGACGACCCCCGCTGGATCGGAGCCTGGTGGGGCGGCTTTCTGCTCTGCGGTGCCTTACTCTTCTTCTCGTCCGTCCTGATGTTTGGGTTCCCACAGTCTCTGCCCCCGCACTCAGACCCCGCCCTGGAGAGCGAGCAGGCCATGCTCCCCGAAAGAGAATACGAGAGACCCAAACCCAGCAACGGGGTCCTGAGACACCCCCTGGAGCCAGACAGCAGCGCCTCCTGCTTCCAGCAGCTGAGAGGTAAGGGCACCTCGTTCTCCAGGGATGCTCGGGACCGGCTGCTGGGGGGCTTGGAATAGAACCCCGTTGGTTTTACGTGATCTGCCTTCCCTGGTGCTGTGATACCCTGAGAAGTAAATGCGCTTTTTAAAGCAAAAACAAAGGGGCTACCATTTATTGAAGGGGCAGCAGACGAAAGCCTCCCAGCTGAGAGCCCGGTGGCTAACACTGCACCTGGTGTAGGATAAATGTGTGTCCATAGAAGGACGAAAGTGGGGAGGGAAGGAGGGAGCCGGATGTTTCATGCCCCCCCCGCCCCCTGCTTTGAACTCTTCCAGGCCACTTGCAAGCACATGAAAGCAGGAAAAGACTTTGAAGCTGGTTCTGTTTGCCTGATGCAGGCATTCTTGAAAAGCCACATCCAGAGTGCATTTCCTTAGATTCTCTCTGGCCCTCCAGCCCCTCCATTAGAGATGAGAGCCGTGTTCCTCTGGAAGGAAACATTAACTCAAGTCTTGATAACGAAGTCCCACTTCAGAGCGCAGCAAAGCGCTCACCATCATTTTTAGAAGGAAAAGAAGTGCATCTTTTTTTTCACAAAAGAGACACAAACAGTGATGCAGAATGAAAATGAGGAGTCCCCCACACACACCCCCTCATGGTTTCTATATTTGGCTCAGCCTCTTACAGGTGAAGGTGATGACGGGCAGCCTCAAAGCTGCCCCCTCCCCATTTGAGAGATATGTGCAGTACTCCCTAATTCAAGGACCCCTTCTTGCTGGGTGTCCTGAAGAACGTGCTAGATTTGGGGAGTGGGCAGGAGCAAGGCTGGGGCTTTCCTTCTCGGTGAGGCTGGGGTGGGAAAGAGGTGGACGGTGATTTCTTTGCAGGAAACCAGGCATGTGACCTGGCCCACCGTCAGCAGCTGCCACCTCGGGCTCACAGTCCTTGCTTTAGAGGTTTGATGAGCGTCTCTACTGAGCTCTAATGAGGGGCACTGTCTCTGGAGATGCTTGAAAACGGCGGCAAGAATCTAGGGTGACCTCGAGCTCAGAGATCCAGGTTTGATCCCTAGATCAGGAAGATCCCCTGGAGAAGGAAATGGCAACCCACTCCAGTATTCTTGCCTGGAGAATCCCATGGACAGGGGAGCCTGGTGGACTTCAGTCCATAGGGTCATAAGAGTTGGACATGTCTTAGCAACTAAGTCACCACCACCAGGGACACAGCAGTGACCAAAGCTTCCATGCTGGAGTGTGTTTAGTAGCAGGGGAGGCATGCGGTGGGCAAAGCCGAAGCAGTAACAGGGTGAGTGCTGGATGTGCTGTGGCTGACCTGGCAAATACACAGGTGGGTAGACAGGGTGGAGGCTCCTAGACCAGAGCCACCACGGTGACAGCCTGTGGATATGTGGGCTCCCCTCCGATAATTAGTGATTTTTAACTTAGAATTAGTGATTCCCAGCGGCATCAGATCCATTAATGGACCTAAAGGATGTCCCAGCAGGAGAGGAAGGCAGTACATCTAGAAGAATCCCCAGGAGCCAGAGTCCAGTGGAGCAAGCTATTATGAGAATCAAAAAATTTTACACTTGCTAGCTCATGGAGAGGGGGCCACCGTGGTTTAGAGCCTTCATTTTTTTCCACCTGAGACAAAATGTTTCCGCTACGTGGACATTTCCACCAAAAGCACCACATCATGCTGCCGAGCACTCCCAAACTCTTCAATCTGATTTGCAGCCTTGAAAGCCCAACTGGTCTGCATACAGTATGCAGCACGCTTGGGAGTACAGATAAGCTGAGCATTGTTGCACATGTTAGAGAAACTAGCATTACTGTGCGGATCTGTAGGTTGCAGTTTCTCATTTGTTTCATTTGAGCTTGCTGTTGTTCAGTCACTAAGTCGTGTCTGACTCTTTGCAACCCCATGGACTGCAGCACACCAGGCTTCCCTGTCCTTCACTATCTTCCAGAGTTTATTCAAACTCATGTCCTGTCCGTTAGGTCGATGATGCCATCCAACCATCTTACCCTCTGGCATTCCCTTCTCCTCCTGCCCTCATTATTTCCCAGCATCAGGGTCTTTTCCAATGAGTTAGCACTTCACATCAAGTGGCCAAAATATCGGAGCTTCAGCATCAGTCCTTCCAGTGAATATTCAGGGTTGATTTCCTTTAGGATTGACCAGTTTGATCTCCTTGCTATCCAAGGGACTCTCAAGAGTCTTCTCCAGCACCACAATTCAAAAGCATCAGTTCTTTGGCACTCAGTTTTCTTTATGGTCCAGCTCTCACATCTGTACGTGACTACTACTAATGGGTTTCTAGTCCAGCCATCAGCCTATGTCTCCTGCCAAACTCTCTATATAGCAAAGGTCCCTGAGAAGAGCTGGCATAAGAATAGCCACACCATCCCCCTCCCCGCTGGGACTGAAACACACAGCCTCTTCTACTCTGGGAGGGCCATAGCGCTCCTCACCTGGGTCTAAATCCAGCTCAGCCACTTCCTAATCATGCAGCCTTAGCCATGTCATTCAACTCCCCTAGGTTTTGCCATGTGGTGTCTGGTGTAACTTTACAGAAGCTACATAAGGTCACTATTAGGACTTAGCTCGTTTATAGGTTAACAGCAGTGGTCCCCAACCTTTCTGGAACTAGGTACAGGTTTCATCGAAGACACCAGTTTTCCAGTGATTCAAGCACATCAAATTTATTGTACACTTTACTTCTATTACTGTTACATCAACTCCACCTCAGGTCAGCAGGCATTATTAGATCCCAGAGGTTGGGGACCCTGGTAGGACACAGAGCTCCTGTTCAGTGACAGAGAACTTCAAACCTGTGATCACTTTCCAGTGCTCTCCCCTCAAAGCAGGCTTTGAAGGTCTGTTTCTACAAAGTTGGCCGTCAGTTGGGTTTTGTTTTGAGAAGGTGAGAAATGGGAAGCTCAGAATCTTTTCCAGAACTGTGTAGAAAAGCAGTCACTTCTTGCACAGCCCAGAAGTCCCTGTCTGGTGGTGACTGTCACATAACCAGTTCACAAAGCAGGCAGCTGGCGGACAAATGCTTGGTCTCGTAAAGCTCTAGCATCTCCCCTGGGTGGGAGCCTGCATATCCAAGACACATTTTTGCCTCTCAGCTGTTCCATCAAATAAATTTCCCTTCCTGGCTCTAAGGCCCCTCATCTCTCATCTTGTTCTTCAGAACGTTTTGCTGGGTCACCTTTCAGGAGCCCCCGCATCCCTCCCCTTGTGCTGTATCCACTTCTCCCCCTGTCCAGGCCTCCCTGTCCTTCACTGTCCTCTGGAGCTTCCTCAAACTCATGTCCATTGAGTCGGTGATGGCATCCAACCAACTCATCCTCTGTCATCCCCTTTTTCTCCTGCTTTCAGTCTTTCCCAGCATCAGGGTCTTTTTCAGTGAGTCAGCTCATCCCATCAAGTGGCCAAAGGATTGGAGCTTCAGCTTCAGCATCAGTCCTTCCAATGAATATTCAGGACTGATTTCCTTTAGGATTGACTGATTTGATCTCCTTGCAGTCCAAGGGACTCTCAAGCACCACAGTTCAAAAGCATCAATTTTTTGGCACTCAGCCTTCTTTACGGTCCAACTCTCATATCCGTTCATGACTACTGGAAAAACCAGTATATCTTTGACTATACATACCTTTGTCAGCAAAGTGATGTCTCTGCTTTTTAATATGCTGTCTAGGTTTGTCATAGCTTTTCTTCCAAGGAGCAAGCTTAATTTCATGTCTGCAGTCATCGTCCAGTGATTTTGGAGCCCAAGAAAATAGTCTGTCACTATTTCCATTGTTTCCCCATCTATTTGCCATGAAATGATGGGACTCAGATGGTAAAAGTGTCTTCCTACAATGCAGGAGACCTGGGTTCGATCCCTGGGTTGGGAAGATCCCCTGGAAAAGGAAATGGCAACCGACTCCAGGATTCTTGCCTGGAAGATTCCATGGACAGAGGAGCCTGGTAGGCTATAGTCCATGGGGTCGCAAAGAGTCGGACACGACTGAGCGACTTCACTTCACTAAGGCCATGACCTTAGTTTTTTGAATATTGGGTTTTCAGCCAACTTTTTCACTCTTCTCTTTCACCTTCATCAAGAGGCTCTTTAGTTCCTCTTCGCTTTCTGCCATTAGAATGGTGTCATCTGCATATCTGAGGTTATTGATATTTCTCCCAGCAATCTTGATTCCAGCTTGAGCTTCATTCAGTCCGGCATTTCCCATGGTATACTCTGCATAAAAGTTAAATAAGCAGGGTGACAATATGCAGCCTTGATGTACCGCTTTCCCAATTTTGAACCAGTCTTTTGTTCCATGTCCGGTTCTAACTGTTGCTTCTTGACCTGCATACAGGTTTCTCAGGAGACAGTAAGGTGTTCTGGTATTCCCATCTCCTTAAGAATTTTCCACAGTTTGTTGTGATCCACACAGTCCAAGGCTATAGTATAGTCAATGAAGCAGAAGTAGATGTTTTCTGGAATTCACTTGCTTTTCCTATGATCCAGCGGATGTTGGCAATTTCATCTCTGGTTCCTCTGCCTTTTCTAAATCCAGCTTGAACATCTGGAAGTTCTTGGTTCACATACTACTGAATCCTAGCTTGAAGGATTTTGAGCATCACTTGGCTAGCATGTGAAATGAGCACAGTTGTGCAGTAATTTGAACATTCTTTGACATTGCCTTTCTTTGGGATTAGAATGAAAACTGGCCTTTTCCAGTCCTGTGGCAATTGCTGAGTTTTCCAAATTTTCTGGCATAGTGAGTGCAACACTTTCACAGCATCATCCTTTAGTATTTGAAATAGATCAACTGGAATTCCATCACCTCCACTAGCTTTGTTCCATAATGTTCCTAAGGCCCACTTGACTAACCTCAGATATGCAGACGACACCACCCTTATGGCAGAAAGTAAAGAGGAACTAAAAAGCCTCTTGAAGAAAGTGAAGGAGGAGAGTGAAAAAGTTGGCTTAAAGCTCAACATTCAGAAAACTAAGATCATGGCAT